GAATGCAGGGCATCAACCAATAGGCATGCAGCTTTCCTCTATACTTCTTGCTGATTGGCTGTTGGGATTTAACTTGATTAACACCCGCACAGAGCATTTCCACACTGACAGTATGTCTTTATTCAAGTGTTTTGGTAGGTATTTCAAGCTTTTCTGCTCCAGCATTGGAATGCGGGGCATGAACGTTTTTTTATTTTATTTTGAAAATCAACAGTTTGCATTATGCAATTAAAAATCCTAACCAATAAAGTAGGGAATAGCTATCCAACTGTTGTTTTAGTTGTATGTTACTTCATATTATAGTTATATCAATGTAATTTACTACTAAATCATTGTTTTTCCTTGTGTTTCTCATTCTTTCCCTGCCATGTGGTAAAATGTGGTGAACCCATCGCTGTATTTGCTCCAAAGCAAATATTGGCCTTTCTAGTTTCTTTTTTTTTTTTCAAGTTTTCGAAGAACGTTCTACGCCATGTATTTTTTTTTTACTTTTATTATTTGGACCATTAGCATTACAATTCTCAATCACTTGTAATGTTAACGTAATACATTAAACTTTGTTTTTCATCTAAGTGTCGTCACAGCAATGTCCAGACGATTGGAGGAGACACCAGCGGTCCTGTTACCTGCTAGTGGACACGCCTGAAACATGGCGAGATGCCAGGGAAGATTGTCATCAGCTCCAGGCAGATCTGGCGAGCCTTACTACCGCAGATGAACAGGTGAGAGATATGTTGACGATGCCATTGTAGAGAGGGGTGGACAGGATATAAGAATACACGGATTGTACAAATGTGTCAAAGTATTCATTTATGACCATGTTTATTTCTGTTGATACTGTAGGTATCCTAGGATGTCATTCAATGATGGATACTGTGTTTGGTACTATCGTATCCAGAACCGTGCCAATCTGGTTGAGTGCCTGAATTTAATAATTTCTGGGTATCAAAGAACGTATGTATATTTCACCCCAGGTATGGTTCTTGATACGGATGCGATATGGATATGGATGCGTACTATCTAGAACTGTTTCTGATCATATGTATGGGCAAAGAAAGGTTCCTAATACGCGCGGACTATCCAGAAATGTTCCTGATCATGGTTCTGGATAAAGCACGGTTGTGGATACAACAGTGACCTTGGCTCATTTTTGTTCCGTTGCAGACTTATATGGGAACACAGGTGGTGGGCGGCACCTACTGGTTCGGTCTGTCCGACATTATGGCAGAAGGCGACTGGCAGTGGGTGGACGGCACGGACTTTGACTCTGCAGTCACGTGAGTTCCTGTCAACATGCGTGGCACTTAGGGTCATAGCCTGAGCTCATAAGGACGAATACCATGTGACTAGTGACCGTAAGACCAATTTTGATGTGGCTCAAAACAGACCTATGGGACTTTCACGTCCAAACATTGGCCTCTAACGGACTTTGAGGTAGACAAGGTATTAGGCTCCACTTTCAGAAAGAAATTCTACATTTCTTAACCCTACCTAGACCGGGCTTTTTTTGGGCTTGGTGGGACGGGGTACTATATCGCTCATTTGAGCGAACGGTATGTTATATGACCACCAAATTGTCAGAGGATGGTGTACTAGTAAAAATTTATCATAAGTACATTTTTCATGTCGTTATGACGTAATATGACGTCATTATGACGTTATTAATGTGGTTTTATTGGCCAAAACCGTCTAGATAGGTTATTCCCTGAAAACTAAATGGTATATAACATAACTTTACCAAAAGTGTTAATGACGGATTATTAGGGTGTACTAAGTCTTATGTTGCCCATAGCAACGCCGGTGACGTCATAAAATGACGCCACGCATATTTAAGCTATCCGCCATCTTGTATCATCAATCTTGAATTTTCAAAAAAAAAAATTTCATAAAAAAAGCCTAAAATATATTTTAAACATATTAAAAACTTTCATATAAACCTTTTTTTTGGAAATTATTTGTATACAAATATTTGTATAAACTATTTACTTGTATATTCCTGTTCTAATGATATGGTCCGCCATCTTGGATTTGGGCCAATGACGTCGTCAAATTAGCATAAATTATGCATATTAAATGAAAAAAAAATTACATAAATTATATGTGATGTTATCAATATTAGAAACCATGTGTAACTTGACATAAAACACATAAAATTCTATTGTTGAAACAAAAATTACTAAATTTAGCAAAAATGCCTGTCAGAAACCACGTTGCCACGGCAACACAAAAAATTATTATCTTATTCCATTGATATCAGTATGAGTATTGTTGCCAACAATATTCTAGGAAAATTCACCAAGTTTGACCGTTGGCCGTTCAGACGCTAGGTGACATCAAAGTTGGCGCGGGCACTTTTACCCCCCCCCGGTCTAGGTAGGGTTAATGCACTTACAAAGAGCGATAAGGCCATAAATACAAAATATACCTGTAATCCCTCCGTGAGCCTGTTACAGGATTTAGGTATGGCCTAGGAAAAAATGTTGTGTTTCCGGTTAACCGACCGACCCTATGAACCCCCCTCCTCGACCCTAGACTTTTTTTTGGATGACCGCTTGTTGTTACTGATGATCACTACATACAAGGAGGCCTGCCAAGAAAATGAACATCCAACGCTAAAATAAAATATATTTACCTTACTTTCCGTCTCTCTCATTTTGCAACAATATTTTTCCATATTTTCATTACCGATAGTCATCTAGAAATCATAAAGGAGACGTTTACAGGCTGCGTTTGGTTAGGATCGAGCCGAAAATCACTGTCAGTGAGTTTTAAACCACATGTTCGCACTGTGACGCGCGTGAATTTTCAATCAAAATGAGAAATTAGTGCCCAACATGACGGACTGTTAGGTTCCCAATGCTGTATTCGTCATGTATACTTGTGGTCAACTTATTTTCTTTGCTTGAATGGTTTAAAATCCAAAGGAAAATACGAAGAAACGTCAGCGCTCAGCATCCGCGCCACCATTTTGAATATTGCTCAAACCTCTCGAAAGCTTGCGAGAATTGTCCCAAACCGCTAGAGGACGAACTAAAAATTCTGCGATGTAAGAAAGGTTTGATGATATATAGAATGGATAGAATAATAATAAAATAAAATAAAATAAAATAAAATTGTACATATGTAAATATGTGTAATACTAGCACCATTGACTTCACCTGTCCTGTCCTTGCACTTGTCCACGTCCAGCCCTACCTTACCCTTTGTTTGCACTTTGCACACAGTCACTAATGCGCAGCTGCTAATAATCCTCTTTCTAGAGGGATCAGCAGTAACAAAGATGATGAATAAAATAAAATAAAATTACTCAGACATGCCACACCAGGGTCCATGCATCTCAGTGTTATTAACTGTATTTGTTTGATCAGTTTTGGCGAAAATGTACCTACCGACCCTAATTTTTTATGGACCGTAATAGGAAACACAAAATTGATACATGTGATACATTCGATAATGTTTAACATAATTTTTAGGCCTCTCCTAAGGAGTACAAGTACTCCTAACGAATACTGTATTCATTCATATCATTCATGTCTCACTAGCACAGGGAGAGAAAGAGAGAGAGAGATTCACACACACACACACGCAGCCACGCACGCACACTCATAATTAACGGAGGTGTAGAATAGAAGTACTAAAAATCATGTTTTATCATGTGTTGTAGCAACTGGGCCCAACATGAGCCAAACAACCTGAAGAAAGGTGAGGACTGTGCCCAGATCTGGCATAATGGACGATGGAATGACCAGACATGCACAAACAAGCATGCATACATCTGTGAGAAACGGACTGGTGAGCAAACAATTAAACAACTTCCTGCTATATGTTTGTGCTTTATGCTTTTGAGTTTCTCATTTCCTCATTATTTGTTAACTTTAGGCAAATGACAACAACGTCACATACACTCAAGCTAACATTTTTCTTACTCCACGTGTACAGACAAAGCAACAAAATTCTTCAAAATTAGACAGCTTTGATTTAGATTTTCAGATCTGAACACAAGGTATTTGCATTTAATACATACCAGATGTCTCATAATTAACGTTATTTAGAAAAGCAATGATGGTTGGTCAAACGAATTAACCTGATTACGATATAATTATAGTTCCCGAGTCTTTATCCCCTCCGCCTGCAACATGTCAGAAATTGTTTTGACATGCAATGATGGGGAAAGGATAAAAATGACTCAGTAACCGGAAAGGGTCATGTAACCAGGCTACAAACAAATAACGTAAATACTCGAATGAAAGCTCATCTGTGTTGGTAGAATACATAGTTAAAGAGTTTGACTTGTTCCAACACAATAAGGAGAACTCACCATAAATTTTCGGCTGATCCCGTCAACCTTCGTCAGATTTGTGATCTCTCAAGACTAGATTTCTGGAACACAGGCGCCCCAGTTCAAACACATCGGAAGTGTCGCAACACATACACATCGAGTCCCCCGGACATACAGTTACATTGGACAAGGTGCGCATTCTAGATACGGAGCAGGATTACTTTGTGAGAGGCGTGAAGGAGGCAGTTTACATCAGGGCCCACCAACCCTCTCTGAACCGTGATGGTGGGAGATACCGTCTTCCCGCCACTTTTGATGCACTCCTGGCGTCATCACGTTTCCGACTTCCGGAAAGTCAGCGATTGCATCACAAATCTGACGAAGGTTGACGGGATCAGCCGAAAATTTATGGTGAGTTCTCCTTCTTGTGTTGGAACAAGTCAAACTCTTTAACTAAATAACGTAAATGTATTCATCGGTGTAAATGTCAACGGTCGCATGGGAAAGATAAAAATTAATAAAAGAAAATGGTGGTTTAATGCATAATATTATTTGTTTTTTCTAATGCATTATACTAAGATGTACAATATAACTTGCTACATTGTTCCAACAGAACTTTATCTCCTTTAACCTTGACAATATAATGTATTCCTATTCCTAATGACCACAGGAAGTACTGATAACGCTGCAGCATAAAGGAAACACACTCTATCAAAACGAAACAAATTTGACTTATTTTAGAAGGGCCTGCATGCCCTTTTTCCTAAGGCTTAATCATTTAGTCTTCGTAGGCAGCCTCCCCAAAAATCAATGTAATTCGCAATACTATATTAGCCACAAAGCGTAAATTCGTATTCAGCTCTGAAACGTTTAATTAAAATTAAAAATGTAATTCGTAATCGTCGGAGAAAATTTTGCGTAATTCGTATTCACTAACCACCCCCAACCCCCACGCAGGCCCTCCTTCAGGTATCTGACTTGTTGGCGGAAGTTCACCCAATGAAGGCAGAGTTGAGGTGTTCCATGACGGACAATGGGGAACGGTCTGTGACGATAATTGGGGGATGAATGATGCTCACGTGGTCTGCCGTCAGCTGGGATATCCCTCTGCAACAGAAGCTCGTGGAAAAGCAGCATTCGGGCAGGGGTCTGGAATGATCTGGCTGGACAATGTAGCCTGTGGTGGTTCTGAGAAGACTATTACTGACTGTGGGCATAAAGGATGGAAGGCACAGGACTGTAACCACAGCGAAGATGCAGGAGTTGTTTGTAAATGTGCCATATGCCGTAATTAACCTGTATCTATTTGATTGTATTTTTTAACATTTTTAAACTCAATTAAAGAGGCGAAGTTCTTGGTCCCGTCGGGATGTCTCTGTAGGTCTGTTTGAAAGTGAACAAGGGCGGTGTTTAAAAAAACACTTCGGCGACGTGAGTATTTTGATAATATAATTATATAACTAGAAAGGCCAATATTTGCTTTGGAGCAAATGCAGCGATGGGTTCACCACATTTTACGACATGGCAGGGAAAGAATGAGAAACACAAGGGAAAACAATGATTTACATTGATATAACTATAATATGAAGTAACATACAACTAAAACAACAGTTGGATAGCTATTCCCTACTTTATTGGTTAGGATTTTTAATTGCATAATGCAAACTGTTGATTTTCAAAATGAAATAAAAAAACGTTCATGCCCCGCATTCCAATGCTGGAGCAGAAAAGCTTGAAATACCTACCAAAACACTTGAATAAAGACATACTGTCAGTATGGAAATGCTCTGTGCAGGTGTTAAGTTAAATCCCAACAGCCAATCAGCAAGAAATGCTCTGTGCAGGTGGAAATGCTCTGTGCAGGTGTTAATCAAGTTAAATCCCAACAGCCAATCAGCAAGAAGTATAGAGGAAAGCTGCATGCCTATTGGTTGATGCCCTGCATTCCATTGTGATGACTCATGCCCAGACGTGGTAAACACGACACACTAACACAGTAATACATTTGCTATAACACAGCCAAAAAACTCAAATAAAACCATTCTAAAAGCCTGTATCACAACAATTTAAAAAACGCCTAGGGGTATTTGCCCACTGTACCTCCATACCAAATTTCAGGACCTTAGGCCCTAAAATGAAGAAGCTGAATCCATTTAAAAAATGGCAGGAGAAGAAGGAGAAACATCAGAAAAAGCAATATGGGTTCACCACCACTTCGTGGTGTGGTGAACCCATAATTATGTTTTCAGAGGCGTTCGTGTATGTGNCAAGGGCGGTGTTTAAAAAACACTTCGGCGACGTGAGTATTTTGATAATATAATTATATAATTATGTTTTCAGAGGCGTTCGTGTATGTGTGTGTGTGTGTGTGTGTGTGTGTGTGTGTGTAAACACGATAACTTGAGAAGGCTTTG